GCTTCATCCTACACTCAGGAACAAGACAACCAGGTGCTTCAACTCCCAGGGATTCTTTGTATGATCTTGTAGGAGAACCCACATTTAGGTTCTTCAGGTTGTTAATCTTAGAACAGCCCGAGGAACGAGTTTAAATTAATCTGAATAATGAAAGACATTTTACAAATGTCGCTGTGCGTCTGCAGCTGCAGGTTAAAAATAAACGTTTGCTCACTTCTAAAACCAACTTCTTTAAAAAAACGAGCAGTGGTATCACACACACACACACACGCACGCACACGCGCGCACACACACAACGTCTCTATAATAATTCTCAGGAAGTGAACTTGACTAAGTTCCTGTCCCCCGCTGCCTCTGGCAGTGAGGCGGATCCAGACCGAACTGCACCGTCCCTCCACGCAGAGCCGGTTTCATTTCTGCTCTGAAACTCAAACCGCCGAGTTTCAGAGCGATGCTGAAATAAAAACCGCAAAACAAGGAGGATCGACAGACGACAGCGGACTCACGACTTGACGTATTTGACCGGCGGTGCCCCCTTCCCATCGATGAAGTTGTAGTTGCTCTCTATGACGGCCTTGGTCTTCCCCGTCTCCTCGAAGGCCGACTTCATCTCGATGCTGACAAACTTACAGACTGAAAAACAGAAGAAGAAAAAAAACTTACAGACTGAAAAACAGAAAAAAACAAACTTACAGACTGAAAAACAGAAGAAAAAAACTTACAGACTGAAAAACAGAAAAAAACAAACGTACAGACTGAAAAACAGAAAAAAACAAACTTACAGACTGAAAAACAGAAAGAAAAAAAACTTACAGACTAAAAAACAGAAAAACAAACTTACAGACTGAAAAACTGAAAAAAAAAACGTACAGACTGAAAAACAGAAAAAAAAAAACTTACAGACAATAAACAGAAAGAAAAAAACTTACAGACTGAAAAACAGAAAAACAAACTTACAGACTGAAAAACAGAAGAAAAAAAAACATACAGAATGAAAAATAGAAAAAAACAAACTTACAGACTGAAAAAGAGAAAAAAATCAAACTTACAGACTGAAAAACAGAAAAAAACAAACTTACAGACTGAAAAACAGAAGAAAAAAAAACGTACAGACTGAAAAACTGAAAAAAAACAAAGTTACAGACTGAAAAACAGAAAGAAAAAAAACTTACAGACTGAAAAACAGAAAAACAAACTTACAGACTGAAAAACAGAAGAAAAAAAAAACATACAGAATGAAAAATAGAAAAAAACAAACTTACAGACTGAAAAAGAGAAAAAAAATCAAACTTACAGACTGAAAAACAGAAAAAAACAAACTTAC